AAAAAATCTACATAGTTGGTACTAACTGGACAATACATAAAAATGAGCAACTGATACTTCAAGGAGCTTACATTTTCTTATATTTCAATCTTTCATTTTCAGAGAAAATGCAATTTTAATACTGCCTTAAGAACAGAGAATTGGAAAGAGATCATATTTTAGTGCCATCATGTGTAGTCATGAGATGACTACAGCAGGTAGATCATATACACTAAGCTTAATCTTATAAACTACAGCTGTGATCTTTATTCACCTATGGTTGCTATAAAAGGTCCCCCAAGATCTCCTCTTCCTGAAGGTGGGAAATTTGTCTGGTTTCAGAGAAAAAACAGCTTTTTTTTGTACAATTAGGGACAAACCCGTCAAGCCCAATAAGCATGTTTCACCCCTTTCTCCTCACTGGTTACTTATAAGTTATGTACTTGTTTTAACTCATTAGTCTCACTAGGACTTCATTGTGCTGCAGGAGTAGAAATTCAACTCTCCTGATCCTGAATGTGTGTGGTTTAGCAGCTCCCCCAGGACCTGGGGGTGGACAAGCTGTTCCTGAGCCAGCAGTGCCTTGTGGCTCAGAAGATCCTGGGATGCATTAGGAAGAGCACTGCCAGCAGATCAGGGAGGTGACCCTGCCCCTCTGCTCAGCCCTGCTGGGGCACATTTGGAGTGCTGGGTCCAGTTCTGGGCTCCTCAGGACAAAAGGAACACAGAGCCCCTGGAGCAGAGGGTGACAAAGAGGATGAGGGAACTGGAGCATCTCTCTTGTGAGGAAAGGCTGAAGGAGGAGATGGCTGAGAGGAGACCTCAGCAGTGTCAGTGTGAGCAGGGAGGGCTCAGAGCAGGGCCCGGGCTCTGCTCCCGGACCAGCAATGGCACAGCAGGAACGGGCAGGAATTCCACCTGAACACGAGGAAGAACTTCTTCCCTGGGAGTGCCCGAGCCCTGGGACAGATTGTCCGGAGAGGCTGGGGAGTCTCCCTCGCTGGAGATATTCCAGAATCCTGCGCCCTGTGCTCTGGAATGACCCTGCCCGAGCCGGGAATGAGAGATGAGGCACTGTGCTCCCTACCACACCAACCTGACCCGATCTGTGGTTCTGTGCCGGAGCCGGTGCACAGCGCCCGGCCCACCGCCCGCACTGCCCTCACCGGAGCCCGCACACCCTCCCGCCAGCCCGGGGAGCCGCTCCGCCGGCCGGGGCAGCGACAGAGCCGCCGGCCGGGGCAGCGACAGAGCCGCCGGCCGCACCCGGGACGCTGCAGCCGGGAGGGGACAGGGCGGGCGCTGGCAGCTGCCCTCACCTCCTCGGCGGGGCTGGTGTTGAGCACGAGCACGAGGCTGGCGGGCTCGCAGTAGAGGCGCAGGAAGCGCAGCAGCAGGCGGTCGATGCCGAGCCCGCGGGCGCACACGACGAGCCCGTCGCGGTGGAACAGCTCCAGGAAGATCTGGCTCTCGTGCTCCAGCAGCGCCGCCATCGCGGCACCGCTCCCGCGCACGCGCGCGCCCCCACAGCGCCCCCTGCCGGGCCCGCGCGCGGACCTCCAGGCCGGGCGGTTTCCCGCCCCGCGGGACAGGAGGGTCCCTCAGGGAAATGTCCGTCCCTCACGGATACCCGCAGCGGGCGGGAGCGAGACCCCACACACGGGCTCCTACTGCGGCCAGATGAGCCCCCGCTTCTCCCCGTGCTAGGAGCGTGTGCCGAGTGATAATGCGAGGTAGCCGGTCTTCAATCATTTTGTGTTGGGTTAGATATGAGGAAAAGCTTTTTTATCCATAGAGTGGGCGCTGAACAGGCCCTGCGGCCCCAAGGCTGCCATAGCTCCAGGAGCATTTGGACCCCGCTCTCAGGCACAGTGTGAGATTGTTACAGTGATCGATGGTTCTTGTGGGTCCTTCCTATTCAGAATATTCTGTGACTCCATTATTTGTCACTGGATAGTTGCATTTTTAAAGCACCAAACCTAAACTCTCCCGAGCACTCCTCTCACAAGGCACCGGCCCCTCGCCGTTTCCGCGGTGCCCGCCCTGTCAGTGCACAAAACCCAGTTTGTGTCTAGGGGGGTGAAGGGGGGGTGAAGGCTCCTCAGAGCTGCTTGCAGAGACAGCTGGAAATGCAGGGCACTCCTCAGACTTCCCCTGCAATTCAGCCGAGCTCCATGGGACGCAGAAGGGTTCGGATGGAAAGGACCCTCCTATCTCTGAGTTCCACGCCCTGCCGTGGCACGGACATCCCCTGTAGCCCAGGCTGCTCAGAGCCCCGGGGTGGCCCCGGTTCAGCTGGGCCAAAACCCCCCTCTGGAAAGGGAAGGAGAAGGCCGCAGCTTTGTGTGCAGGGCTGCTGGGCAGGGCTGCACCAGCTTTGTGTGCAGGGCTGCTGGGCAGGGGCAGCGCACCGCCCGCTCCTTCCGTCTGGGAACCTGCGCTAGATGCTCCCATCACTTCTGCTGGGCGTGCTGATTCCAGTTATCTCTGCCGATAATGTCTCCATTGGTAGAATGGCGTTATCAGGGCGTTGAGACAACGGCCAAATATATTCAAATAAACACTTTCAGTTCTTTGTTTCGCACTGTCACCTGTGGGCAGCTGCACTGGGGGTTCCTTTGGGTTTCCGTGTTTTTCTAGTAAAGTGTACACTGCCAGTGTGTTCCTTTACTGCACACTTGTCCCAGTCAGCACAGTTAATGAAGAGACAATTTGCAAAACATTATTTGTAAATTTTCCACGGAGACCTATGCTATGGAACATTTGAAATTAATGTAGGAAAAATACAGATTATTTACAATACATGCCTTTGTATTTTAAAATGCAGTACAGGTCCTCAGAGCAAAGTAGAAAACAAGTCTTTAAAAACAGGAAAAAATAATAAAATATGGGGACTAGTCTTGATTTTTCTCATGCCCATTTCATGTTCATGAAATTTTATGCTGATACCTAAAAACAGTTTTTTCTTTGCAAGTTAGATCATATTGCTAATTGTTGTGCCAAATACCATGCTTTAAGTCTCATTTTTTATCTGGCAGCCAATAAGCTCTCTGATGTTTGCATTTAAAACTTATTTAAGACCATAAAAATGTCAAAAAAAAATCAGTATTTTTGACAACTTTTCATTTTAGTGGACTGCAAGTCATTTAATTGAACAAACCACAGTAACACAATGATTACCATTAACATTTATTGCTGTTTCTGAATACTCTATGGAAAACTGAAGCCCAGTAAGGTTACTTCTTTGAGGAATTTCAGTATTCTATAGAATTATCCATATTATTCAGTGTTCAGCCATTTCCTTGCCCTACTGTTTCCTACAGGAAGTAGACAGAATGTTTCCTAATGGTCCAGATAAATTTCAGGCATCCCTGTATCACAATTTTATTTTTACTCTATATATTTTTATATTTTTTTTTACTTGGGCTAAATGCTGCAATTAATGTAAAGCTGTTGTGATGTGGCACTCAATGCCATGGTTTAGTTGAGGTGTTGGGGCATGGGTTGGACTTAATGATCTTGAAAGTCTCTTCCAACCCAGTGATTCTGTGAATTCTGTGAATTCTTGTGGGTACATATTTATTAGCCAGCAGAGGGCTGTCATTTCTTACCTTAGGAGACCAGAATTTAGGCTTAAATCTTGCATTTTATTTTTATGCAATTTTTATTTTCAAAACACTAGATTACTATTGAAAAAAAATTCATAAACACACAAGAAATAACCTGAATAGGAACAGTATAAATAAAATTTGGCTAAGAATTAGCTAAGAATTAGCTATTTAATTTTAAAGTTGGCAATATTAGGCTGGGAGAATGTTATTCAGGGGAGTGCTTGACACATTTCTATTGCAACAATCAAGGTTTGTTTTTAATTTTAAACATGTTTTTTATGTAACTTTAGGAGTTTAATTCCTCATAAAATAGTAAGCACACACAAATGATGAGTTACTTTCAAACTGATAGATGATATGAGATGATCAGTACAGCCCATTATCAACCTCCCAAGGAAGACATTTGCTTGTGTATTTTAAAAATGCATTAACACATCTATTTATTTTATCATAATAACACTAAATGAAAGTCAGGTTGATTGCTTGGTAATGCAATAGAACAAATCCCTGGAGAGGAGATTAGAATTTGGCTCACTCCTTGTTATTTGGATCAGCAATGTTAATGTTAGTCTTTATGATACACTTTTGACAACTAATTTGTGTTTAAATATTAATGTTTACAAGTTATTTCTCATTACTGTGAAAGAGGAAAATGCTAAAATCATGACTAAGTCATTAATCTGCTCATTTGGGTAATGACAACAGTCTTGTCTGAAGACAGTAACAGGTCTTTTGTGCCATATTCATAAACTTTTATTACTGGTCATATAAAGAGCTGAAGAGGACTCCCTGTGAGAAGAAAAACTATTTAAATAACTTCCATAAAACTTTTGTATTTAAATAAAATTCCATATTTTCAGCTGTAAAAACATGGTGAGATTGCCAACCCTGTGGATTTTTTATTGTGTCTTTGATTTGCTTTGTTGTTTGGATTTATAAATATTCATCTTTGTCTTATGTTTAAATATACATAGGAAATGGAAAAAAAAATGTGTTCTATAATCTGGAAATTTATTAGAACCTGTGTTTCAGCCACATTTATTCATATTCTTAGAAGAGGTAGTTTTGAGGGGGGCACTTTCTGTGATCTGTAATTGGCTGAAATAGGTTTTTCTCCATCAGTCTACATACAGAACATTCCTTATACGTTAAAAAATATTACCCCTATAAAATAAAACCTAATAATTTTTTTTCAATGAGGCTATTGTGTAAAACATGTCATGTGTAAAAACTAAATATGACATGTTTTTGCTGGGTAAAAAATGAGCTGCAATAAAATAGCTGATTTGGGCTGTGGTCTGATGGATAGGGGCCATTAGTAAGGGAAAGGTGAGTTCTCATCCTGCACTGGCTCTGCCAGGCCAGAGACCCTGGAATTATCAACTCCCCCTTTTGTTTCCCCTCAGGTGTAATTGCCATAAAAGCCACAGCAAGTGTCTGCAGTATCATTTGTCTGAAGTAAACTCTGAGTTCGACCTAAGCGGCTGTTAATGATTTCCACAGGGTGGTTTTTTCCTCCACAATTACAAAGGTAAGTTTAAAACTTCAAAGATACATATGTATAGTTTGTACTTCAGTATCCTGAACAACTTTAATTTTGACTTTTCCCCCCTCTCTTTCTGCATCTTATGTTAATAATATATGTGGTAACTGTCTAGACTATCCTACTTAATAATTTCTAGATGATAAAATTCATGAAATGCAAAGAGGTTTCTTTACTGTAGCAATATACAGAAATGACAGATAGATGAAATGTTTTAATACATTACATGTGTTCCAGTCTCTCACACACTTCTGAGGGCCATGGACATATTCACTCAATGATGTTTAGCTGCTCATTTAATAGAAGTAATTTTTCAAATAACTTACTTTGTTATTAACAAAAGCAATGGGGAACCTTTGCACCATTGTGACCAGTGTAGAGCTGTTGTGTGGTAGTGGCAATACAAATCTGCTTTTCCAACTTTAGTTGAAGATTTTGTGTTTTCTGATCTGAAATGAAAAAAAGAAAAAAATTATGAGTGTTATTAGAAGTGTCAATTTTCCTGCCAGTTTTTAATACATTAGTTTGGTAATTCTGGTGATATCCAGTGGTACATTTTAGAGAAGCCAAATTAATGTCCTTGCTATATTTGTGTTACATTGCTTTATGTTTTATAAATGAAAGGGTCCTTTATTTAACTAATTTTTAAAACCAAACATTATTTTGGCTTGTGAACAAGTGTTTAAATGTTTGTGTTTAGCTGATTGTGTAACTTGCTGTATATTTTGGTCACTCTTTTTTCGGAAAGCCCAGGATGTGATTTGGTGGTTGGCTATATCCACCTTTCTGACTGACAATAGCTATCATGGAAAGGCTGTGACCACATGACAGAATGGTCTGCAAGGGTCATGTCCTGCCTGTTCACATTTATTTTAAAAAATGTTGATGGTTTATTGCTAAAACAAATGGCATTAAGTGAGGGTAATTATTATTTGCCTTCGGATTATCAGAATGATGTTAGAACAAATTTGCATCCCGTGCTCCTCTTGACGAAATGGGTTTGTTTGTTCCCATCTAACTGATTGTAGCATAGAAAATGGGTGTTTCCTAGATTTTTTTTTGGTGGTAAGTTGGTTGGTTTCTGTGGCTTAGAAGACCCTAATTATAAAAAAAAGGTGGGAAAGGCAAGATTCAGATGATCATAAACCCAAACCCTAATTACACAAATACCAATTTATAGGCAGCTGTGTGGAATTTTCAAAAAAAATAACTTTTAAAAAGCAGAAGTTGTTGCTTATAAACAAATACAACAATGTTTTATTACAGTAAGCCTTTGATAAATGAAACTGTTTGTGGAATCTTATTTGAGTTTGTAATAGGATGTGATGTCCCTGAAGAAAGGAAAAGGAGAGTTTACTGTTTGAAGTCCAGTGCTCTTCTGCACTGGATTAATATTTGAGTAATAATAAAAGGAGTAATATTTGAGCTGGTACTCTTTCTGGGAATTATGTACCCAGAGAGAATTTGGAGTAGTAGATATGCATATTGCATAGTCTAGTTTTATTCACAACACACATTTGAGAACTGGTATAATAAAACTCAGAAAGAGGTGTTGGGGTTGATTAGGAAGAGTAGGGAAATAACCTCTGGTGTATCAGCACATAGGCTGCTGCAAGGAAAGGAGATAAAATGTTGAAAATATTCTGAACTGTCCATTAACACATTAGTGTAGTACAAATACAGTAAAATAAATTGAGAATATTTCATATACAGAAATGAAAGCAAGGCATATAATATTCTAAAAAAAATTATTTTTTAGTCTAAAATTAGTAGCTTCTTATTTTACTCACCTTAATTTAGGTCGGTAAACTATTAAAGCTAATTGCTATCATTGATGATCTCTGAATCCATGACCCCATTACCCTCTTTGAGCTTGAAAAAATTGGCATTGCTTGAACGGAGTTACATGTTTCCAGGCTTCTCAAATTTTCTAGCCATAAAATTAGGATTTCTTCTAGGCTAAAAAAACTGTATCCTTGTATTTTGTAACAAATGTGACTATGCTGCCAGCCCTAAGTGCTGCTTAAGCTGCAATTTGGGAAGCCTGGGCAGAAATCAATTCCAAAGTGCTCATCCACAGAGATGTTCTGCAAAAGGAATCTGGGAGATGGGAGGGCACTGAAAGCTTTTCCCATGCAGTGGTTGAATTTTCTCTTGAATCTTGAACTTTGAATTCTTAGGCAGTATTACACTTTGTTTTGCTGTCAGTTTATTATGATTTGCCTCTGATGCTCTGAAGCAAAAGACTATTACTAGATATGGTTTCCATAGCAATTACAACTTTCTGAATATGCTCAGAACTGCTTTCTCATTGTTTCCATTTTCCCAAGGATTTTTATTTACCAGATGAATGGTGCAAGGTAACTTTACAAGAGAGCTGCAAAGGGGATTTGTTGATTGCTTTTGGGAAAGGCACCAGCCATCTTAGCCATGGTATTTGTCAAAACCATAGTGATTAATTTGGCAATTATAAAACTACCTTTATTATCTCCACACATTTGTAAGCTAATGGAATATGTAAGAGTGCTACTTCACAGGCAATGGTTTCATGCAGCTAGGTCAGAGTTTGAGCTGTAAGTGGTTGAGATGTGTGCACATGCTTAATTTTCCTGGCTCTTCAGAGTGGAGTCAAATGGAGCAAGTAGTGTCATAGCATGTAAAATCCGTTTTGCTTGTGCACTACCAAAAGAGGATCAGATGCTCTTTGTGGTCCCTGAAGTCTGCTGTGATATAAAAAAAAAGTACTGGCAAGGAGATTTGGTCCAGTTCTGTGCTGGCTTTTGCCCTTTTTATCATGATTGCTTGACAGGATTTCCAAGTCAGGACAAAATTCTCCATTATGTCTGCTATCTATGTATCATTTTCTGAATTATATTCTAGTGATGCAGCAGCAATTAATTATTTCACACAATGACTTTTACAAATCAAAGAAGCTCACTTCTTTTGGAAGATAAATTAATTCAGCACTGGGAATTGCCCAGTAGATCACTGTGAAGTTGTGGGAACAAAACCAGAAGAGCATGTTTCATACATAGAAACTACTGTAGTTCTTCATCAGAAATAAATGCCTGTCTTGACACTTTTTACACTTTGTCAAATTTGATTCTTGCTATTTTCTGGCAGATCTTTTACTGTGTGATCTCTTAGTCCCCCTAATTCTAATATTTTGTCTCTCCTCCCTAGCTCACCCTCTACTGACATGTGATTTATGGTTTCTCCTAACCAAGGTAGGGCTCTAACTTTCTTCCAGAGAGTTACACCTTGTATCTGATTATTTGCAGTTTGTTTTGTGTCAAGTTCTTTAGTACTCATACAGCCAAAAACCAGTGAGCTACGCAGATTTGTTATGAGATAAAGTGTCTGACTCTCTAGAAGGGCACAGATGGAACGGTGCAACTTTCACAGTGGATGTGCTACTAAAATTTAAAAGGAACAGCATGAAAAACATCTTATCTGTAAGCAGAGAGTCTTACTGAAATATCTATCTTTGGAATCCAAAAATGGTGACTGAATACATAAGGTGTTTGTTAAGGAATTAAATCAAGCTGTTCAGCTCTTTTTCAAACTTTACTGTGATGGATAAACTAAGTTTTCTTTGGATTTTTTTTAGAAATATTTTTCTTATGAGAAAGAGGTCTGTGTAGAATTTCTGCTGAAGTTTGTCAGCACTTTTCAAAGTAACCACTTACTTTGTAAAAGCACTTTAGACAAGAATTTAGAATTGAATTCTAGACTCAGTCACGAGATGTGGAAATGCTAGTGCTGTGGATCCTAAGGAATTGAAGTTAATTGCAGTAATTTACTGCTGAGCTGTGTGGTGCACAGAATCAAAATATATAGACTGACAAGAAAATCTACAGTCAAGCATATTCATTTTAACAAATGAATGGTACAATTTCAGTACCATTAATAACTCATTATGAGTATTATTTCTTCTGCTATGCCTCCTTTGACACACTCTTGGTGTACCAAATCTGCCTTCTGTCTTTCTTAGTGCTGTTATCAACCACTGTCTCCACTCTGAAGGCTCTTCATAGACCTCAATCCTCTCCACCCTGTATAAAACCTATTTTACTTCTGAAAGCAACACTTGGCAGGGCTCCTCTCAGGGTATGATGCCCATGGGGTGACAGACAGAGGCCAGCCTTTCTCCAGGGGCTGTGGGGCTGAGAAATGTAAAAGGTGGTGGGACTGACACCCCTTACAGATGGATACAATTAAAAAATATATTCAGGGAAGTTTTAACTAATTTTTTTTCTGGATTTCACTGTACCCACCTTTTAAAGCTTTTTTTTTGGCTGCAATACATTACCATGCGCCCCTCCTGTGCTGTCAAACCATGTGCTTAACTCTGGGTCTTGCCTTCCCAGAGAGCCTCCAGTAGTGTCCCTTATGGACAGAGAGCTGAAGATGGAAAAAATCTGTCCTGAGTCCCTCTACATCCTTTTTGTTCAAGCAATGTTGCTGCTCAAACCCCATTCTGTCTTTGCAGACCTATTCTACTTATTCCATTTTGATTTTTCTTGTTCCTCTAATGAGCACAAAACTCCTCAGAAGAGGCACAAAACTGCTGTAGAGGTGCTCACCTATAATCTAAGTTTATTTATTAATCGTTGCAAACTATTGCTGAGTAAATTAAGTTAAATTAATCAAATCAGTCTTTAGTATACAGAGCTTTAATTTTGTACCTTTTTTTAATTGGAATGAAACTTTTACAGCTTTTGGATGCAGACATCATCATTGTCACAGGAAAGAAGTGATGAAGGAGAACAGTAATATATATATAATACATATGAAAAATTTATGTTGCTAAAATTCAAAGGGGAGGTTGATACCTTGAATGTGTAATACATATTGGGCAGCTCTTCTGATTTTGAAATATTTTGAAGAGTTTTAGAAAATACATCTTGATTTAACTTTTTAGTCTTTGAAACTTTACCACATGATGCCATTTGCAAATATTCATAATCCTGTAAAAGAGATACATAATGAGGTTCTTAAAAACCCTTGAACATTGATTAAAGTACTTTAGAATCCAAAGAACCATACTTCTATTCATGCATAATGAAACAACAGCCTTTACATTAAAACAGGTTACCTGCAAAGTCTTATAGGCTTTTTATTTCCCTCTGCTCTAGGGCTGGTGTTTGATTTCTCCTGCAGTCAAATCTCCCATTTAGGTTACCAGGGAAATTGGGATCACACTTTCAATACCTTATTCAAAATGCACATGGATTAGAAAAGGAATAGATAAATAGATGAGTGGGTTTCAGATTCAGGTGTTTGTACTGTCCTTTGTCCTTTTTTTAACGAAAATGACCTGCCTCAAAGATAGCATTTAATAATGTATTTTTTTCAATATAAAATAGGAAATACAAAATTATTTCTAATGTCATATTTTGATAACTTTTGAATTTTAATGGTATACATCAAGGTAATGAAAATACATAGTTTAAGGCTGATTAAATGTGTGTAATTATGTGGTTTCTAAGCAACATAGGCAACACACTGTATCACTATAAAGTATTAATCATAGCAGTTGTAATAGTGAGCAACTCTTGTTGTTTGGTTTGTCTTGTAATAATGCTTTAATACTTTCTCAATATTTATCCTGATTAACATGTTTTTTAATCCTCTGCTTTTGGGGAATGAAGTAATTGAAGCTTTATTGGACGAATTACTTGGCGTTTCTAGTAGCTGTCTCTTGGTACCTTCTCAAAAAGCTTAGGAGCACTTCCAGCTGTAAACTGCATAGTGTAGCCTTTTTATGATGGAGGAATATGGTTTCAATAGCTACATGGCTAATTGTGGTAGTAACTGAAGGTTGCAGAGTCAGAGGATCTTTAGATACAGATGCAAAGTAGTTTGATATTTGATAAGTCAAATATTTCTTGAATAGGTATCCATATCACAGAAAAGCCTGTTATGATTGACACTAATTGCCAGCCTTCTTGGCAGATTCTGAAACATGGCCCAAAAAGTGATCAGACAAAGATGAACTCTCACATCCACCCATGTTCAGAGGCAGCTGTTTCTTTTCAGGATTGACAGCTGTTAGTGGGGTGGCGTATGAACCTTGGAAGGTCTTTTCCTTTGGCCTTTTTTCTTCATACTTTCCGTGGATTTTGGCTTTTAGTGTTTCATAGTAACATGAATACTTCTGAGAGAAACAAGGATTACTTCAAGACTTAGTAAAACAAAAACAAGTCGATACCGTTCCATAAATTTTATACAAGAAAAAAGGTTAGCAGAAGAGATGAGATATTTTTTCTTGTCAGTCATATCTGGAAAGTTGCTATTTTGACTTCTACCAGGAGGAAGGAATGCCATAAGGTTTCTCAGTATGGTAGATGAATTCAGGGGAGTGAAGTGGTGGTGAATCATCTCAATAGGACAATAAGGAATATCCTTTTTAGGGAAACAATTATGATGCTATTCTATTCTTTTTCCCCCTTGGGCTCCAGAATGCTAGTTAAAAATACATATTTTAGATGATTTTTAGGAGATTTTTCTCTACTTAGTTTTTTCTTTTGTCTATATAATTATTAATATAGTCCATAATCAGTATTTTAATAAGGAGCTGGTTTTGGTTATCATGTTGACATTCATTATGCAGATTTGGATAGAAGTTTCTATGAGCAATTCCTTACTTTTCTCTTAGGACTTCTGGCTCTCACACTGACAATTAATTTAAAACTAATTAAAAACATGAAAATACTTAGGATCATTTATACTTTTAATTAAATTAAAAGACTTGAGGGAAGGTTTGTGGTCATTTTTGGCCACTCACACATTTCAGTTGAAAATTAATGGGAAATAAGTTTCCAGAGTCATCTGTGAGTAGTCCCATGAGTCATATTACTGCTGCTTTTCCTGAAAACTTCAGTGAATGTGGGCTGAGATAATCTGATAGAGAAGTTTTACATTTGGCTGCGGCTCATGAGAAATACCTTCTTCAAACACGATTGTTGGAAATACCCAAATACATACTGAAGTTTTACAAAGAGTTCTATACTAAAGCCCAAGGAACTTTTATCTTGGCGGATTTCAGTTTGTAGACCTGTGTTGGTACATGTGGTTTAATATGCTACCCCAAAGTACAATGAATATAAATATTCAATTTTTCTTGGTAGTGTGGCACAGAGGATTACATTAAGTACATGTTTTTGGTGCTGGTTTTTGATTTCCAAACCATTCCAAAGCTCTCAAAAGGACAAAGATTCTGTAACAAGGAAATAAGGACCAATTCCACAGATGTTTCCAGAATTCATGAAGATGTTTTTTGTAGTGTTGTGAAAAGTTACTTCGTTCATCTGACCTGAAAGTAGTTCTGACTTGGTTTACTTCAATGGCATTAGATTATGGAAACATTACAGATCCAAGTTCTGTGTTACATGAATGCTGCTCTGCATTTTTATGTCATCCAAACTGTATTGAAAATGCTTCCTGTTAAAAAGTATGACTAGGCTGAAAATCAAATATATTTAGTACTTATGTATGGTGTGTTCACTGAGGACATTTTTGCAAGGTGTTCAAGCTCTTAGAGAACATAGAAAGAAGATAGAAAGAAAATGAAATAGCTGATTCTGCACCACTTGGTACAAATGTGAACTGCTGAAGTATGGACCAGTTTGGGAGAATGCTACAGGTAAATATAATAAAACAGGGTAAAATAAATAAAAACACTGGGCAGATTGTTCCTGCTCTTGGTGGCATTGTGTAAAGCATAAATAAAAGGAAATGTCTGTGGTAAGTAAAGCTGATATGTTAAAACATCTAAGGCTAAATCATTACCAAAGACAGAAGATGAACTGAGCTGACATTTCACAAGGAATCTGATCTTCCACAAGATGGAGCTGTGTGATTTCTGCTTTTGGAAGCATTCAGTCTATTAGTAAACGATTCTTTGATTCTGTACAAGGACAGGAGAATCACAGTGATCTATCACAGCTTTCTTTTATAGATGCTAAGGAACTGCTGAAATTTAATTCGAGATGGTCGTGTGGGTGCTAAAATATTTAATTTAACATGAAGGCCTCTGAATCTAGAAGAAAAGCTGTATTAAAAAGAAAAGAAGAAAAAGAAAACCATTACCTTTCTCTGTGAAGATCACAGCAATTTGCCTACTGTGTGAGGGCCTGTCAGCTTTTCTTTATTTACTCACTTTGATTATGACTGCAATGCAGATTTCTTTGGACTGGTTTCTTATCATTTATGCTCTGCAACATCTGAATAAAGGAGGGATATGACTGCCTAAATGATAATTCAAACAAATATTTTGAATAACAGTGATGGACCTCCAGTTCTGGAGTGTTTATTAGGTCTGAGCAGATGTAAGTGAAGTACTTCATCAGCAGAATGCAATACTGTCTTTGGAAGCAATGACTGCAGAGGATCAAGGATTCATAGTAGCAGAAA